CTAACAGTGTTCTTGCACATTTCAACGAGTCTCTCCCTGTGTGCATCGCTTGTGATGCGTCCCCCTACGGGGTTGGAGCTGTCCTGAGTCACCTCAGGTCTGATGGAACTCAGGTTCCTATTGCATACTACTCCAGAACACTGTCTTCTGCCGAGCGCAACTACGCTCAGATAGACAGGGAGGCTCTGGCTGTTGTTGCTGGAATTAAAAAATTCCAATTTTCTATATGGCAGGCATTTCACGGTCTTCACTGACCATAAGCCTCTGCTGGGACTGTTTACCACACGTAAGCAGACTCCCCACATCATTTCCCCTAGAATGCTTAGGTGGTCTATTTTCTTGTCTGCATATGATTTTTCATTACTCCACAAGCCTGGGAAAGAAATGGGCCATGCTGATGGCCTCAGTAGATTGCCTCTGCCAGTAGTAGAAGCTGACCCCGCGCCAGCTGTCAACATTCTATCAATCCAAGCCTTGCCCGAGCTCCCTCTTAGTGCCAGGGATGTTACCGCTGAAACAGGTACAGATCACACACTTTCACGTGTCCGCTCCTGGGTCCTGTCCGGGTGGCCTGAGCACTGCCCTAGTCCTGAGTTTCAGAGTTTCTGGTCCAAAAGGAACGAACTGTCCCTTTCTCAGGGTTGTCTGCTTTGGGGAAACAGAGTTGTCATTCCCACCTCAATGAGGACTAGGGTCTTAGAATCCCTCCACGAGGGTCATCCTGGCATTGTTCGTATGAAGGCTCTTGCACGCAGCCACTTGTGGTGGCCTGCTTTAGATAAAGATATTGAGGCTAAGGTACACGCATGCCACCTGTGCCAACGATCTCGCCCAGAGATGCCCCAAGCTCCTGTGCATAGATGGGAGGAAACACAGTCCCCATGGTCTAGGGTGCACATTGACTACGCTGGGCCCTTTCAGGGCCAGTTCTTCTTGGTCCTTGTTGACAGCCATTCAAAATGGCTTGAGGTTGTGCCTGTCTCATCCACCACCACTGCAAAGACTATTCAGGTACTGAGGGGGATTTTTGCTGCACACGGGCTGCCAGATGTCATTGTGTCCGACAACGGCCCTCAATTCACCTCCTCCGAATTCCAAGCTTTCTTACAGGCAAACCTGATTCGTCATGCCACGTCTGCGCCTTTTCACCCGTCCACCAACGGTATGGCTGAACGCATGGTGCGCATCGCAAAGGACGCCTTGAAGAGACTCACCTACGGGGACTGGCATCACAGGTTGGCTGACTTTCTCCTTTCTTATCGCACCACACTGTCCACTTCTACAGGGAGAAGTCCAGCTGAACTTCGTTGGGGGCGCCAACTTACTACTAGACTTGACCGGTTGCATCCGGACAGACTGCCTTCATCTACCTCACATCCTAGGGCACCTAGACAACTACTTGTGGGTGCCCCGGTTTGGGCTCGCAATTACGGGCCTGGTCATACATGGGTCCCCGCTTCTGTGTCCAGGATCACAGGTCCTCTCTCCTACGAGGTTGCCCTGGACAACGGTCGTGTCCTGCGTCGGCACATCGACCAACTTCGCTCTAGGCGAGACTTTTCTGCTGAGACTCCTGGGTCTTTTCCAGGGGGGGAGGGGGACCCTTTGGAGCAAAGGGAAGGGCAAGAGCTACTGCCCATCTCCACTGAGGGAGCCACAAACGGCCCATCCCAGGGTTCCGCAATTGCTCCGAAAAGAAAGTCATGGAGCTTACCCACACAACAGGCACTCACGCCTACTCCAGCCAGGGAGTCACCCCGGGGGCATACTCACTTTCCACACACATCACACAGCACTCCAGCAACGGAGGATACCCGGGGGCATCCCAACAAATCATTCCCCGCAAGAGAGCTGGCACACAATTCCCAAGGTTGGCCTGACCTTACCCCAAATCCTACAGGGGGTCAAACATACACAGAGCTAGTCGAGGAACCAAGTCCCGACTACAACAACCCTAGCACAAATCAGGGAACACCTGAGTTTTGGGAAAGTACAGAAACCCACACGAGCCCGAACACAGAATGGGGTTCAGGGAATGGACAGCCTCCTGACAGGTCTTGGACTGACCTAGGAGGTTCTACAGAGACGCCCAGCAGCGGCTATCACTTCAAGGGGCCTGAGGGTCTACAGCTAGGTAGGTCAACCAGGTCACAAAGTAACAGAAGCCCTGGCCTGACGAGCCCGGTGGGCAAGCAAGCAGGCCAGGCATCGGGGCACAGTCCTTGGAAGACACCAGGGCACAATAGAGAGAACAGGCTCACGCCTCCCTCCAGTCAGGGGACTTATGCCAGTAACCCAGAGCTAAGAAGGTCACAGAGAGCAAAGAAATCTCCTAAGTATCTAGAAGATTACATAACATTGCTGGCAAGGCAAAAGCCAGTAATCAGTGGGAGCACTGGGGAGCAAAATGTCATATAAAATAAATGTTGTATGTTGGTAGTAGTTTTAGCCCGGGGGAAAGGGGTGTTATGTCCCGAGCCTTGCAAACGGCTCGGGCGTTTGCAGGCAGTCCCGGGCAGGTGCAAAGCTGCCCGGGACCAGACAGGCTGTCGCCAGCGCCGTGCGCATGCGCGGGTGCTGGCGCGGGAAAAGTAACCCATTTACCCGGGAGTTGCCTATATAAGAGGCTGCGAGGCGTTTGGGCGAGGCTGAAGCCATCTTCCTGTAAGCTGAACGCTGAATAAATGAAACTGAGAACTCCAGCTGCTTCTCGTGTCTGTTTTCCCGCCACGGACTCAACAATGGATACCACGAAGCCTCCTCCCAGAAGGGAACAAGGAAAACAGGTTGTGAAGAGGATGTGTAATGTCCCAGATAATGTTACAGACCCTGCTCAAGCAACGCTTCTGTGCTATGTCCTGGATGGGAGGGAGGGAGCTGCCAATGATCTTTTTGGACTTCCTCACCACTCTCTACACTGCCTTCCTGTCTGAAGCAGTGAGGCTTCCAAACCAGACTGTGATGCTGTATGACAGGATGTTCTCAATCGTCCACCTGTAGAAAGTAGTAAGGATAGGAGAAGGAAGATGTGCTTTTCTCATGTGGTGCAGAAAATGCAGGTGCTGCTGTGCCCGCTTTACCAGTGACTCGCTGTTAAGCAACCAAGCCAGCCTACTCGTTAGCTGCACACCCAGGAATTTGATGCTAGTAAGCATCTCCACATAATACAGATAACCCTAGATTTATGACCACAATTGAGCCCAGAATTATGCTATAAGCTGTGCCTGTCATTAAATAGGTCACCGTGTGACTGTGGCCAAGTTTACAATGTTTTTTGCAGTGGTCATAAAACAAATGTCATGACTGTTAAGCAAACAATGTGGTCATTAACTAAATCCATGGTCTGCAATGGACGTAAACACTGGTTTCTGGTCAAAAATGTCATAAAATCATATTCACATGACCACAGGAAACAGCAAATTGCCAAAACTGAAGACTGGTTACTAAGTGCCCAAAATTTGATCATAGGATCAGGAGGGATTTTAATGAGTGTCCTATGTTCTACAAACCACCTTTGTGTCATCAAATTAAAAGCATAGACAGTTAAATATCCAAACAGTTTGATTGTACACTAAAAAGCAGAGATTGTAAAATTGGAGTGCAGAGGAAAACATTGGACTCTGATGTCCCAAAGCTTCTTGGATGCGTAGTGAAATATTTTCAAGGAAAAAACGAAGAAAGTCCAGTTGCCTTTTGAAAAGCACCTTTGGGACAACTGTGACCTGGATGACTGAGAATCTCCCATAAACATTGGAGTCTGATTTTGAGAAGGCAAACACAGGAGGAAAGCAACAGCAGATGCCAAAGAGTAAGTAGTGACAAGGGGCTGCAGCCAAACTTCTAGATAAATCCATAATTTTGATAGCATCCTGACCTAGTAGTTTCAACAATAGGCTGCAAAGCAATGTAGAGTTTACATGTAATAGTAGTAAAGTTGGAAGGGACCTTGGAGGTCATCTAGTCCAAAACTGAATGCAGTATTCCAGGTGTGGCCTTTCTAAGGTTTTATAAAGTGGTACTAATACTTCACGTGATTTTGATTCTATGATAACAAGGGGGTAATAACTGATGGTCAATTAAAGAATTTGCTTACTAGGAAGTCAATTAAATGATATGTAAGTTCCTTCTGCTAATCTAGTTCTGCGAAGTGCAATACAAGGTCAGAATTCACATCAAGTTCAATTGCCCTGCAACACAGTATTATACCCTATTTATATATAGCTATTACTGCCCTATTGAAGGCAAAAAGAGTAGGAGATGGCAGAAGATGATATTGGTTAGACCAGGGATCCCCAACCTATGGTCCACAGCCTGGGACCAGGCTGTGGACTCTTGGCCAGCAGGCCACGGAAATGGCTGGCCGGTGCACAAACGCATGGGCGTGCATTCCCCCCCCACTTGCGCTAGCACCTGCAATCCCATTTGCACATACACGCGGACGCGAATGGGGACACTAGCATGGAGTGGGTGTCCACAGCCCGTTTGCACATGTGCCACTAACCCGGGTGGTTTGTGTGGCCTGTTTGCGCATGCACAAAAGGGCCACTAGCTGCCCTGGGGGGTGTCCATTCATGCATGCACATGGTGCCAACACATGCTGCATGTAGAAACAGGGTTGTTAGTGCACATATCAGTGTGTGTGGCCCTGTGCACATGCGCATACACGTGCACACCAATTTTGAAGCTGCTCTCCTTCCCTCTGGTTGGAAAGGTTGGAGACCTCTGGGTTAAACAGTGTCATTGACGCAACAAATATGAATTTGGCCAAACTCCGGGATACAAAGGAGAACAAGGGAGCCTTTTGTGGTCATAGGGTCACGAAGTCAGAAATGACTTAGCAACTGAACACTAACGTTACTGCTTTTATAATGCATTACAACATTACTATTATAATGTTGCATTACAACAATAACATAAATAATCTGTACAATGCTGCATTATAATAATAATATTAATAATACTAATGCTAATACTACTACTAATAATAATATGTAGTCATTATGTTAACATCTGTGTTGCAAAGAACTATAGCTGCTGCCAAAGTAAGTTCAGATGCTTAAGTGTTGACAAGTGCTGCCAAGCTTGTTAGCTTATTATAACTTTATAATAAGAGGGTCTGTAAAAATAAATACCTAGCTGAGAAATCTAAATGCCAAATACTTCAAAACAACTTGTTTAATTTATGGAACAATAAACAACTTCATCTAGTATAAACTACAAAACTAACAATTAAGAAGGAGGAAGACCAATGAGGAAGGTAGAATAGAGTATACTCAATACCAGAGAACTATAAAGTAGATAAACTGGAGGTACTATTTATTTACTTAACTTGGTATTTCTGAGTAGTTTCTGGCCTAAAGCCTAACTTGTTCACATGATCCCAGAACAGGAAATGTGGCTATAAATAGACAATTACCTTTTTTTTATATTACTGGACTTAAAGATGTTTATCACAAGATGCTTGGGTCAGATCCTCAATCGGTCAGGTGTGCATAGCTCCAAGATTTAAATGAATAAGTCATCTGAAAGGGGGTACTTTCAAAGAAGCAACACAAAAAGGTGAGTTTTGCTTGGCTGTCAAAAATGAGGTCTTAACAAATGTTTTATTTGACAAGTGCTATGCTAACAATTTGTCTTATTATCAGGAAAAGATTGTAGCTACCTGAGAGAACTCTGCTTCACAGAGACATTTATGTAATATAATGCAAGAATGGGAATATGTCTTTGGCACAGAGGCAGAAGCCCCGCTAGGAAAAAAGAAAATCCACACACAATGCACACACGAAAAATATGATGTCCAATAGATATAAAGGGTAGTTTCCCCATTAGTAACCCCCCAAAAACTACTAAATTACTGCCAGCTTCATAGCTATTTAAAAACATAATATCTCTGTTCTTTGCCCCCATGTCAAGTTATTGTGCTTCATAAATATTTACAGCTGTTTTAAAGATCATTTATATCCTACCTTGCCTGTGATCTTCCCTTTTGCCCTTTCTAATCCAATATATTTTACCCAGAAGTAAACTTAAGTAACCTCAGAGATATTTCCTTGTGAGTATAGAAGCCAGAACTGTACTAAATATTTCAAAAGCAACAGGGTTTCAGAGTAGTTTACATTTCCTTTCTGAATGGTTGCATTTTCTCTACTAATTCTTTTTTTCTCAGTATGTCTTTGCATGTCAGCATCTACTAATTTAACAAGGCTAATTAACTGCAAGAAATTTTTGCTCTGTAGCCCACATGATACTCTTCCAGTAAGCTTTTCACAGGGCCTGTAAGTTGGACACTTGGTCTTAATGGATTCCATTGATATGAAGTCAGTTTGACATTAAAATCTTTGGACACTTTTCCTTCCCAGAAAATTTTAAAGTATGAGATAAGCAGGTTCCACCTAATGATCAAGCCCCAAAATAACTGTCTGATCACCTGATCTTCTGCTTCTGAAACATAGGCCAAGAATACTTTGTAAGGTTCCAGGCTTCCATGTGTTTCTTCCAGTTTCTTCCATGTGTTATTTCTGCTAGATATGTAAATAGCAAACACACTGGTCTTTGCTATTTTGATGCATTCTTTTTTATTTTTTAATACCTCCTTCTCCAACTTGTGATTTCTAGGTGTGCTGCCAACTTCATTAACTTTCATTAGGTTGGGTGGGCAGAGGAGTATGGGACTGAAGGCCAACAACACTAGGGAAAGCTGCCACTGAGTTGCAGGCAATACTGAAGCATACATTTGAGCATTTCTTCAATGTCCTCCAGCACTCCACAAGAGTGCTCATCACCCTGTCAGTGAGACTAGCAACCAGAAGAGGAGAAACAGGGAGGTGACTGGGATGTCATGAACTTGTCTCCAGTGGAAAGCTGCCCGGTGGAAGTGCTACCAAACTGTCATTGATCTGCTTACACCTACACTTCGATTCTTGTCCCTTTTTCCCTATCACTAGGATTAAAATCTCACATCCAAAACGTTTTTGCTCATTGTGGATATAGTGGACTGATGTGATATCTTTGTTTATGGCATAGATATATATAAATTCAGAAATAAATGCCAGCAATTGATCAAAAACCCAACTGTAACTCATTTGTCAGGAAAAAAGTGTGAAACAGCAGAAATAAATGGAAATAATCAATTGGGCTGCAAAACTCACAGATGAGGAAAAACCTTTTGCTGGGCAAAAAAGGAACAAGAGCTAAATCTTTCTTTTTTCAAATCATTCAAATGGTGTCCTTTTTAAATGGCATCTTCTTCTTGGCCCCAGCAAACAAGTGAGACAATTTACAATTAAGGAGGAATATTTTCTTCCTTACTCCAAAAGTTTCCTAAAGGTGTACAAAATGTGTTAGGCTTTGTCATCCATCACCTTAAAAAGAAGGCAGGTAAATGCCCTAATGGGGGACAGGGGCAGTAAATGCAGGATGGAGATCCAGATTTATGCCTATTTATTTTCTGTCAATGTAAAAAAAAAGGCAAAAAGCCTTCAGCTCAGCAGGAGGACAAGTTCATCACAATAACAATTTTTTCTGGAACATGAGCCTGTCGATCTGTAGATTAATTGTCTCACCTTTCCAAGTTGTCAAAAAGTCCAGTGGGACTTCTGGACAACTTGGGAAGCTGAGACAATTAAGAAAGCACTACTGTCAGATGTGGGACTGTGGGACTTCTGGACAACTTGCAAAGCTCAGGCAATTAAGAAAACGCTAGTGTCAGATCACTGTAACCCTACATGTCCATTGTTTTTCACCTTAGAGTCAACCTTAACTCCTGGCAACTATGTGGACAAATCCATGCAGGATTTCGGGAAGCGATTTGACATTGCCTTCTTCCCAGGGTTGAGGTGGTGTGATTGGTCCACCCAGATGACTTCCAGTAGCTGCTGATTTGCTGTCCTTTACTGCTTCCTCTCAAAATCTGCAACCTCAAATACATAGGTGGTTTCTATACAAAAATGCAGAGCCTGCCAAGTTGATCTAAATTGAGAAATGGTCTGCTAAAAGGATATACAGTATAGGTGTGATTAGATGTTTGCATACATTTAGTACTCTGTCTAATAAGCACCCAGTAGAAAAAGTACCGCACAAAGAGAACATGAGTGGGATGGCTTTTGTCATTATGATCAATAAATACAAAATAATTTTAGCATTCAGTCATTTGGTGTTAAGCTATAGAGGGCCACATTTGTTCATGCAAGGAACAGTCCATTCTTGCATTGTTAACATTTGATTTTTTTATTGCAGTGATTTACGGTCAGACTTTCTGGATCACTAGTTTGCAAGATTATAAAAAGAAAATGAGTGAGTACCCAGAGGTATGTTAGAGTAGTAGGAATTTATTGCCATGTATACTATGCAAAGAGGCAACCCTATATTCTTTTTATCTGATAATAAGTCGTATCAAACACTGTAGGATTTAGCTGTGAATGTTTTCCACTGAGGTAACTTTGATGAAATGGATTCTAAATATGTCCTATGCCCTAATACGTATGTGTTTTCTAAATGGCCAGATTCTTATTTTTTAAAATCTTCCAGCAATTGTATATAGAACTGTAAAGCTGATTGTTAAAATTATGAAATGTAATAATTCACAAAAATTCTGAGTACTCAGAAAGAATGTCTGCTGGCCTGCTTATCTATACTGAACAAAAATAGCTGGAAACTTTGTAAATCTCATTAGCCTATTATTAAGGATAAGGATAGGTGTCAAGCTGGTGGCTTTCTTTAAATTAGTGTTTTATTTTTTCTGTCTGCATAGACCATTAATGTGGTCTATTCTTGGAGTTTCTGAATTGTGATTGAAAGGAACATAAGTTTCTCAAGAGAGATGTCTCAACATTACACAAAAACATACTTTTGTTGCTTTTCGAAATGGATCTTTTTTTCTTTTGCATTTGAGACACAATATAGTTCCACACTATATTTTTTGTTTGTACCTTATTGATTTCAGTGCTTCTATTTCTAGACTAATGTAAAAGTATCTCTTGGAACCAAAACCTAGATGCTTTTTTTTTTTTTTTTTTTGCATTCCTAGCAAGATGCTACTTTATGATGTGATTATTACTCATGGAGCATCAGGTGATATAAATTTCTCCCGCCTTGTTTCTTTGGCAAACTACCTTGCATCTAATGGATTTCTGTGTCTGTGATTCACCTGCAAAAGCCTTAACATCATTCATCGGGCTTAAAGCATATAAAGCAGTTGAGGCATGAAAACTAAGTTTGCTTTCTAGAGAACAAAAAAATTGGATGCTTTAAAGCAGACATGTCAAACTTATGACATCATGTGATGTCACGCGATGTATCGGCGCTTTTCCCCCATTGCCGGCAATGGGGTGGGTGCCGTTTCTTCATGATGCGCCAGCCCACGGGCCGGCAGTTTGACACCCCTGCTTTAAAGGATCCTAAGGTAGCTAATATTTTTGTGCAGCTCTTATAGGGCTTTAGTAGTTCATATACAAATACTACTGCATTGTATTGGTTAGATATATAATTACATCTCTCCCAAATTTAAGAGATCATAATGTTCTTGTACAAGAAGCATTTGTTACTCTGTATAATTATGCATTTACCTTTACTTGTCCGTAATGTTAAATACCTATCCAACAGCATTATATTTTGATCTAAAAGTCTATTTTTTATTATTTATGGTAGATATTGATTAGTTGGTAGTGTATCATAAAATATTATTTTAATCTTTACCTTTTTCTCCCGTTGTTAAACTAACTGAAACTTTTTTTAAAAGGAATATTTTAGATTGTCAGATGACTAAAAACTTTCTGGAATTTTTTGGGGAGGTAAGAAAATTGATGTCTTATTAATAAAGAATTATTGAATAATTGCAGTACACACTCCTAATGATCAGAGAATTAGTATGATTGTTTTGGAACAGAAGAAAAAAAATATTTTATTCACTTATTTAGCTGCAAGAACATCTCGAATAATTATACTATAATCAGTTAAGCTTAATTTCATAAGTTTCCAGATGGCTGTATGAAAGAAAGTATTCTAGGGACTATTTGGAATAAATAAATAACAATAAACTTTATTGTTATAAGCAGTGCAACGAATTATTGTATTGGCAAATTAAAGTTTACATGTGAATATATTGAGAGATCATTTCATCTTTATTTTCTAATGAATGCAGATTGTTCAATGGGTCCTCGTGCTGCTGCTAGTGTGACACAGCAGGCTAACCAAAATAACAATAGCTTCATTCTAAGCCTGGTATTTTTGCCTTATCCACTGCATCATCCAACGCTTCAAATTAAACTCTGAAGATTCATTAATTCCCCCATCTAGTTTGTGCCTGGGACTACAGATGTTATAGAGTAAGTTATCAGATGTATAAAGGAAGACACAAAACCTGATTTTATCAGCTTGTACAATTGTTAGAGAAGTGGGAAATGAACTTCAAGCAAAGTTTTTTTTTATATTCTACAGTTGTCCTCGATTGACACAAATGTTATGCTGCAAAGTGAAACATGTTAAATGAGTTTGCCCTATTTTACAACTTTTTTTGCCACATTTGTTAAGCGAATCATTGCAGTTGTTCAGTTAGTAACATGGTTGTTAAGTGAATCTGGATATACCATTGATTTTGCTTGTCAGGTCGTAAAAGCTGATCACATGACCCCGGGACACTGCGACTGTCATAAAATATGAACCAGTTGCTAAACATCTGAATTTTGATCCATGTGACCATGGGGATGCTGCATATTATTATAGGCAGTTAACTGCTGACTAGGATTTGCAGACCAGGAATTCAGTTTTAGTATTTGTCACTCAATACTGATATTTTAACAAAAACCTAAAATCGATGTAATATATATTGGATAGCAATTTCTGAAGTAAACCTTTCTGTGTTTATTACGTTTTCTAATGTACGCTGCATCATTTATACACCGTTGCTTCCCTCTGGAAAAAAAACTTCAAAGAAAAGAAAGCATCATAATTTTAGCTTGTTGCACTTCTTGCAATGCTTCTCTTGAGCCTAAAATAACAAAATGATGCCCTCTAATCACACTGATCAAAAATCATATTAATTGGGGTACAGTGTTAAAACATTTGCCAGTATGTTCTTGAAGTTTTAAAATTAAACTTTACAGCAACTTTCCTCCCTTTTTCTCAGTTATCCAAACTTGAATTTTTGGCAGTCACAAATCATCTAAGAGCTAGTGACTTTGTATGGTTACAACAAATGCATGCTGTATGAAGCAAAATTAAAGGTACTTGTCCAGTCTCCAGGAGTCAAAACAGATTTTGAAGGAACACTTACACACACTCTCCAGCACCAGTGGTTCAAGATATTAGACACAATGGTATAAAGGCCCTCCACAGTTTGTTATTTGAGCCAGATATACTGATGCTTTAAAATGAAATTTGTTGTACCCAAACTGAGCTCTAAGTCAGCAGTCCCCAACCTTTCCAGCTCTGGCCTCCAGCAGTGGGAGGGAGGGGATGGTTTCGTGCATGCAATTTAATCCCACAAATGTGCATATGGAGCTTTGTGCACTTGCCTGCCGCTTGCATGGCCCGGTTTCCAATGGGCTACGGACAGGTAGCGGTCTGCGGACCAGGGATTGGGGACCTCTGCTCTAAATGAGATCCATACAGTTTCACTATGCTTAGAAATATTTTACCAATACAGATATAAAAGGTGAGTTATTATATGCTATTGGTTTTGTAATAAATTTATAATTAATAGAAACTTAGATGTTCAAACTTTGTCTTCAAATAAAAGTGACTATCCATTTATGGAAAGAATATTTATTTATTTTTTAAAAAAGAACTTATAAAAAGAGTGTTGCATTAATACTGCACAAAAGAGGTCATCCGGATGATTTCACTCTTAGTAATTTATTACCCTCAGAAAGTGATTAGGTAAATATTTCCAGCCACGGGGTTTCCTCTGTCTCATCAGAGTTCTTCTTTGACCTGCAAGTAAGATGAAAAACTTGGGTATCAAACCTTATAACATTGAATTATTTAACTTTGCATGTGTTCTAAATCCCTTATTCTGTTATGCAGGTTCCCTTTGTAGTTAACACATATTTTTCAATAATGGGTTTTGATGGCCTATGGTTATTCCAAGCATCTGGAATATATCATCCTCGCTATTGCATTTTAATGTATCTAAAAAGTGTGTGTGGATTGTGAGAGCCGAGTTGTTCATCAATGGCACAGTCTCATGGGGAGTAGTGGACCCTCTTTCTTTGAAGATCTTTAAGGAGGGTCTGGTTGGACATCTTTGGGGATTTCTGCAGATATTTGAATTAGGTTGGATGATCTCTAGGCTCCCTTACACTCTGTGATTCTGTGGCCTTCCCTGCTGTCTATTCAGCTGTGAACGTATGAACAGGTAGCAATAACAATTTCCGAATCGCCCTGAGCTTCAGTCTTCCTGATCCCAAGTTCTCCTCCCTCGCAGGCCATCTTCGTGGTAAGAGTCTATATGAAAACAGTTTTGCTTTTTGCTTTTTGATATGCTTTCTTTCACTTTCACCTTCCCCTTAAATCTCACAAGGAGGTATTGAGAAATATTTGCTTCTTACTCAATCTGAAATTGTCTTCAAAGGAAGGACATGGCTTCCTTGTAGGTAGGGTCTGGGACATGTAGATATCAAGATGAGGAAAGAACTTAAAATGCAACACTTGATCATATCAATTAGAGTAGCTTTATGGGTTCCCAAGTGCTATATCTACAGATAGTATAGGTCTTGTGCTGTGGTATGTAAAAACAATCCTTAGAACCGTGGTGGTGAACCTATGGCATGCGTGCCACAGGTGGCATGTAGAGCCCTCTCTGTGGGCATGCACACCATCACCCTAGTCCGAGGCCTTCAGCTGGGTTTTATAAAACCTTTTTGCTTTAGACTTCCTCTGCGGTGTGCAAAAAAAAAAAGGTTCAATCAATCAATTTCAACTTCTCGCAGGAAAAAAAAAGATCTCGCAAATTGGAATTGATTGATTGAACTTTTTAGTCCCACCCAGTCTGCCATTTCCACCGCAGCCACATCCACCATATGGGCCATGCCCACCCAATGGGCCAAGCCCACGCGGCATCCGACGATACATAAGTGGGTTTTGGGTTGCAGTTTGGGCACTCGGTCTCTAAAAGGTTCGCCATCACTGCCTTAGAACATTAGAAAAAAAATTTTTTTTAAAGCCACATAAGTCTCATAAATCTCCCTTCTGCAAAAGATTGAGAAAAATACTGCAGTTCCCCATTTAAACTGCTTTTGTCTCTCTCTTTTAATTTGCAATGCCCTCACATCATCTTGGAAATACTATTTAACTAGGGGAATAATAGATATTTAAAGGGATGCATTTTGACTCTAGTTGCAGCCTTGCACTTGGAAAACAAATTTTGAATAAGTAAAAAATTTACAGTTTCTTCATGTAGAATATCTTTAATTCTAGTTTTTCTGAATATACAAAGCATTCCTATCATTGACCTGGCAGGTTTTAGCTTGTATCTTAAGATTTAGTTTACATGTATTAGAACCTTTCTTTCTTTCCTTCCTGGTACATGAAAAGCGATGAAAAGTTCCATTCTGACACTGTAATATTTGTGTTGTGAAGCTAAGAGCTTGAGTGGCATAACAGTGTTCTCATTAACATCAGGTCAGGATGCTCAAAAACCAACTCCTAAAATACTAACTTGTACATGCTGTACCTTTGTTCGGTGGCAATTACAGGGAAAAAGGTCTTCATCCGGTTGCCCCACTTTCTCCATGCCATCCCTAACTTTGGGATCACTCACTTGTAGCTTGGCATATTCCTAATGATAAAAAAATTAGAGAAGAATATTTTTTGCCTTGCTCCTTCAAACAATAACCACGCGATGTTAAGGGGGCAATAAAAAACTTTCAGTCCTACATGGGAAACTTTCCATGCATTTGAAAAGGCTTAAGGAGCTTTACGAGGATCTTTAAAGCCTTCCAGATGTTTCCAGCATCTGTTTCACTCATCAGAATTCCAGAAAACCTCTCTCGGTATGGACATACTGAACATACCACATAAAACCTGGGATGGTCCTTCAGCTGACGAACATTGTGTACTGCTGTTTTAGTGCAACAAATGGCCCACACTGCTTTAGGGAATTTGGATTCTGTAATATTCAATATCAAATAACCCTATTAGGTGGCTTGCTAAAATATAGTCATCTCTGTTAATGCACAGTCTGTGTTTTAGAAGAGGCTTTCTAAAGTTCAGCTCTTTAATCTTTGCTGATGGCTGTTTTGAGGAGCCCATCTTCTCTTTAAGAAAGGCATCTGTAGAAGCACAGATGCATCCTTAGCAAGTGAATTTAGGACATAACCTAATCACTTGCAGATTCTACCAATTAAATTGTTAGTGATGCATTTTTAAAAGTTTCCCAATAATCTAGGTCATGGGGGTCAAATTCAATCGCATCCCGTGACATATCATGACGTTTTTTTGCCTTTGCGGAGCCAGGGTGGGCATGGCCTGCATGTGACGCATCTGGCCCGCAGCCACCAGTTTGACACCTCTGATGTAGGCAGTCTGTGTTCAATTCTAATGTAGCTGAATGCATAGCATTTTGAATCCATAAAATAAACCATGTTAGAGATAATAAACATGGGCTCAGAAAATGTGAAAATATCTATATCAGTGGTGGCGAACCTATGGCACACGTGCCAGAGGCGGCACTCAGAGCCCTCTCTGTGGGCACGTGTGCCATCGCCCCAGACCCGCCTCCCCCCATGGCCCCCTCACCAGCAGCAGCCCCCTGGAGGAGAGTCGCCCCCGAGCACAGCCCGTGTGGAGCAGCGCAGCCAAGGACATGGCAGCCGAGCAGTGGAGACAAAGCTTCACCCTCTCACCCGTTGCGCGCAGTTGATGCTGCAGGGCGCGGGTGGAGGGCATGGCTGCCATGGCACTGCTGGGACACCTGGGTGATCTGTGGCGGGCCGTGGAGGCAGTGGGTGGCCCCACAGGCGGGCGGAGGGGCAATTTTTGGACACTCGGTCTCTAAAAGGTTCACCATCATTGACCTATATGTTATGGGAATGCATACATGAATTCAGTTATCTAGTTCAGGAGCTATCTTGCTCTTTAGAGTTGTAAAGTAACCATTAATGTAACATACAGAGAGGGAAACCTGATCTATTACTTAAGATTGTTGTAAGGATAAAAACGAGGAAGGAGAAAAGTAGATATATTGACTTTGCTCTTTGGACAGAATTGTGGGGACTGATGTAATTAAATAAATGAAGGTCATCAAAGAAATGGAGACCTCCTGGAGTGCTCCACTCACAAAGACTTGTTGCCTTCATGCAAGGCCTCTCAGTGAAAGCTATGACTA